GGTCCTTTGGGTATAATCCAAGAAGAGGAATAGCTGGGTCAAATGGTGGTTCCATACCCATTTTTCCAAGGAATCTCCATACTGCTTTCCAGATTGGTTGCACCAATTTACAGTCCCACCAGCAATGTATGAGTGTGCCTTTTCCCACATCCTTGCCAACACTAATTGTTGTTTGTATTCTTAATAGCTGCCATTCTGACTGGAGTGAGATGAAATCTTAGAGTAGTTTTGATTTGCATTTCTCTAATTGCTAGAGATGATGAATATTTATTTTCATATATTTGTCTATCCAGTTCCTTGGACCATTTATTGATTGGGTTATTTGTTTTTTTTTTTTTTTTTGGTGTTAAGATTTTTGAGTTCTTTGAATATCCCAGAGATTAGTGCTCTAACTGATGTGCGTGTGGTAAAAATTTGCTCCCACTCTGTAGGCTCTCTCTTCACTTTACTGAGTGTTTCTTTTGGTAAGAAGAAGCTTGTAGTTTGAATCTATCTCATTTATTGATTCTTGATTTTATTTCTTGTGCTATAGGAGTCTTGTTAAGGAAATCGGGTCTAATCTGACATGATGGAGATTTGGGCCTACTTTTTCTTCTAAGAGGTGCAGTGTTCTGAACTAATTCCAAGGTCCTTGATCCACTTTGATCTAAGTTTTGTGCATGGTGAAAGATAGGGGCTTAATTTCATTTTGCTGCATGTGGATTTTCAGTTTTCCTAGCACCATTTGTTGGAGAGGTTATCTTTTATCCAATATATATTTTTGGCTCCTTTGTCTAGTATGATATAACCATATTTCTTTGTATTATCTCTGTGTCCTCTATTCTGTACCATTGGTCTACAAGTCTATTTTGGTGCCAATACCATGCTGTTTTTGTTACTATTGCTCTGTAGTATAGTTTAAGGTCTGGTATAGCGATGCCACCTGCTTTGCTCTTCTTGCTAAGAATTACTTTAGTTATTCTGGGTCTCTTATTTTTCCAGATAAATTTCATGACTGCTTTTTCTATTTCTAAGGGAATGTCATTGGAATTTTGATTGGAATTATATTAAATCTGTATAGTGCTATTGATAGTAATTAAATTTGACAACATTAATTCTGCATATCCAAGAACAAGGGAGATCATTTTATTTTCTTTTATTTTTTTTAGTTGTTGATAGAGCTTTATTTTTATTTATTTATATGCAGTGCTGAGAATCAAACCCAGTGCCTCACACATGCCAAGCAAGTGTGCTCCCGCTGAGCCCCAGCCCCAGCCCCAGCTAGATCTTTTCATTTTCTCAGGTATTCTTTAATTTCTTTCTTTAGTGTTCTGTAGTCTTTGTTTTAGAGGTTTTTCACCTCTTTCATTCAGCTGATTCCCAAGGTTTTTTTTTTTTTTTTTTGAAGCTATTGTAAGTGAGGTAGATTTCCTTCTCAGAGGATTTGTCACTGATGTACAGAAATGCCTTTGATTTGTTGGTGTTGATTTTATATCCTGCTACTTTGCTGAATTTATTTACTAGTTCTAGAAGTTTTCTGGTGGAATTTTTTGGATCTTCTATGTACAGAATCATATCATCAGCAAATAGTTCTAATTTAAGTTCTTCTTTTCCTATCCACATCCCTTTAATTTCTCTCATCTGTCTAATTGCTCTAGCTAGTGTTTCAAGAACTATGTAAAACAGAAGTGGTGAAAGAGGGTATCCCTAAGTTGTTCCAGTTTTAGAGGGAATACTTTCAATTTTTCTCCCTTTAGAATGATGTTGGCCTGAGTCTAGTATAGATAGCTTTTACAAAGTCGAGATATGTTTCTCTTATCCCTAGTTTTTCTAGTGTGTTGAATGTGAAGGGGTGCTGTATTTTGTAGAATGCTTTTCTGCATCTATTGAGATGATCATATGATTTTTATCTTTAAGTCTATTGATGTGGTGAGTTACATTTTTTGATTTCTGTATGTTGAATCAATCTTGAATCCTTGGGATGAACCCCAGTTGATAGTGGTGCACTGTCTTTTTGATATGTTTTTGAATTTGATTTGCCAAAATTTTTTGAGAATTTTTGCATCCATATTCATTGGACTATTGGTCTGAAGTGTTATTTTTTTGATAAGTCTTTGCCTGGTTTTGGAATCAAAGTAATATTGGCCTCATAGAATGAGTTTGGAAGTGCTTCCTCTTTTTCTATTTCATGAAATAATTTAAAGAGTTTTGGTATTAGTTCTTTATTAAAGGTCTTGTATAAGTCAGCTGTGTATCCATCTGGTCCTGGGCTTTTCTTGGTTAGTAGGCTTCTGATGGCATCTTCTATTTCATTGTTTGAAATTGATCTGTTTAAATTGTATATATCATCCTGATTAAATTTGGGAAAATCATATGACTCTAGAAATTTGTCCATGTTTTTGATATTTTCTACTTTATTGGAGTACAAGTTTTCAAAATAATTTCTAATTATCTTCTGTATTTCTGTAGTGTCTTCTGTGATATTTCCTTTTTCATCACGTATATTAGTAATTTGAGTTTTTTCTCTCCTCTTTGTTATCATGGCTAAGAGTTTTTCAAATTTATTTATTTTTATTTAACTTTTTAATTTTAATATTTTGTTCTGTCATTATTTAAAAAATTGTTTCTTTTGTTTCAAGTTCATCGATTTTAGTTCTGATTTTAATTATTTCCTGTCTTCTGCTTTTGGTGTTGATTTGTTCTTCATTTTCTAGGGCTTTGAGATGTAATGTTAGGTCATTTATTTGTTGACTTTTTCTTCTTTTAAGGAATGAACTCCATGCAATAAACTTTCCTCTTAGTACTGCCTTCATAGTGTTCCAGGGAATTTGATACATTGTATCAGTGTTCTCATTTACCTCTAAGAAATTTTTAATCTCCTCCTTGATGTCTTTTTCAACCCACTGTTCATTCAGTAGCATATTATTTTTTCTCCAGGTGTTAGAGTAGCTTTTATTTTTTATTTTATCATTGATTTCAAACTTTCTTCCATTATTATCTGATAGAAGGCAGGGTAGTATCTCTACTTATTTGTATTTGATTAGAGTTGCTTTGTGGCATAATATGTAGTCTATTTTAAAGAAGGATTCATGTACTGCTGAGAAGAAAGAGTATTTGCTTGTTGAAGGATGAAATATTCTATATATGTCAGTTAAATCTAAGTCATTGATTGAATTATTGAGTTCTATAGTTTCTTTGTTCAGCTTTCATTTGGTAGATATGTCCAGTGGTGAAAGAGGTGTGTTAAAGTCATTCAGAGTAATTGTTTTGTGGTCTATTTGACTCTTGAGAAGAGTTTGTTTGATGAATGCAGATACTCCATTTGGGGGGGCATAGATATTTATAATTGTTATGTGTTGTTGGTGTATGGGTCCTTTGAACAGTATGAAGTGTCCTTCAATATCCCTTTTGATTGAATTTAGCTTGAAGTCTTCATTATCTGATATGAGGATGAAAACCCCTGCTTGCTTCCACAGTCCATGTGAGTAATATAATTTTTCCCAACCCTTCACCTTCAGCCTGTGGATGTCTTTTCCTATGAGTCTCTTGGAGGCAGTATATTGTTGGTTTTTTTTTTTAAATCCAATCTGTCAGCCTATGTCTTTTGATTGGTGAATCTAGGCCATTAACATTCAGTGTTATTGTTGAGACATTATTTGTATTCCCAGCCATTTTTGTTTATTTTTGGTATTAAACTTGACTTGGTTTCTCCTCTGGTTAGTTTTTCCTTTAGTGTAATACCTCTCTTTGATGATTTTCTTTTTTTCCAGATTAAAAAAAACCCCAATACTTTATTATAATTTTTTAATCACAGAACTCCAGTCTAAAACATTAGACACACATGCCCACACACTGACCTCTGGTATTTTCATACCCCTCAAAATCTGGCCTATGAGTTATGCCTCAGGAATTTTCCAGATCAAGCCCATACACCAACTTAAAATAAAAGAAAATGTCTTCTAGTTTTACCCACACTTCCAAAGTGCTAGGCAGCTACAAGGTTTGCTGAAAGTCACTTTTGACAAGTTAGAATAACAGCTCCAGGCAGGGTTCTGGGTGTTACAATCTTCAAGCAGGGGTCCTGCAGGCTCTTTCGATGTTGTGTCTTGTCACTCCCTTCAGGGGTTGCCTTACACGTGGCAATAAAAATGTATCTCCTGGTCAGAATCACAATGGGTAGCGAGTGTTTCAGCTGAGTAGTAATGTTACCTAAGTTAGGAGCCTGTAACTGAGAGATCCAATCTCAAGGGTTAAAACTCAAAAATAATTACTATTTCAAGGTCAGGACGTAAATTACTTGGCTGGCTAAGAAAATGCTTGATAATTCAATGTGTACTTTTGCTTCATCTTGAATTTCAAGATGAAAATCAGGTAACCTGTATCTCCCTCTAGGTTTACAGAGCACCCTCTGGTCCCCCTCAGCGCAGAGAAATGGAGCCTAGAAGTTGTCGCACCTGTAGCTTGGATTACTTGGTGCTCAGGCAAGGTGCACAAGGCAAAACCTGATTTAGACCATCTATTTCTTTCAATGCGATGCTACGAAGATGAAGGCCCTCACTTCAAAAAAGGGAGGAGGACAAAGGAGCTGGGACAAGCTGAGGACCACTACACTAACAGACTGACGACATGTGGGAATGGGAATGTTGAAGCCAGCAATCTTTTGAAATATCACTATCACCTTCAAAACTCTGCTTTTCTAATCAGGAAATTGGGAGTGGGAGAATCTTGGCCTGAATTGCCCACCAACACATTCTTCTTAACAGAAGTGAAGGTATTTTAGGCTATGAAAAGCATTTCAAGACATCTGTTTTCAGGGATGAACCACAGTCACAAAAATACTTTTCAGAGTTGGTTTACTCTAAAGTCTAGCTCAAGAACAAGGGCAGTCAGCTCTCACAAGGTACTGAGACGTGTTCTGGCAAAAATATTTTTGTTTTCCTAAAGTTATATATGCTGTCTTCAAGTTCAACTATAATATATATATGTTCTTTTTTGTCAGCAAAAAAAGGGATTTTTTTAAAAACTCCAAAATTAATAATATCTGTGTAGAATGAAGGCAGAATTTTGGTTGTTGTTTATAATTTAGAACATAGATGAAATCACAAGGTCCGCAAAGTTCTCTGCATTCACAGCTTTCAGAATCCTTTTCTCCTTTCACATGAACTCATCTGAATCATTGCCATCCTGATTTGAAGACATGTTCTCAACCTTCATTAGTGATGAATAGCTCCTAAGTTCATCCATCTCCCTCTTCTTCTTCATTTCTTCTTTTTCTCTCCTTTTCATTTCCTGAATTTGGGCTTTTTTCTCATTTCTCTCTTCCCAGTCTCTGCTTTCCTTCTCTGCAGCTAGGTCTGGAAACCACTCTAATTTGGTCTTTTCTAATGGGTTCAGTATCTCATTCACTTTTTTCTCCACCGTCATAATTTTTACATTCTTCTGCCTGTGAAAGCCTATCTGCCCCTCATCCATGTCAGCTGTTTTCTTCAGGTTAGACCACGGTGTATATACCACATTAACGTTGTTCGTCTTGCAGCCTTGAATGCTATTGGCCTTCACAAGGTGGGCACAGTCCATCAGCACTTCCTTTGGAATGTCTTTTATTTTCTCTCCCTTATGTAATTGAAGGTATACGTGAGCTGAAGAGAGTTTGTCCACATGAAAACAAATATCTTCAGGCCAGCCATACTTTATCAGATCTTCATTTTCATATTTATCCTTTCCCATGTAAATAGTGTAAGCAGATGAATTAATATCAAAGGCATGCATGAATTCACACTGGAGAATATGTAAGTAATGAGGGAAAGTCTTCACTCAATCCAGTCCTTTCACATGCTCAAAAGAATTCACACTGGAGAGGAACCCTTTTCCTTGCCTGCCAAAACCAAATCAGGAGCATCGTGTCACTTTTCAAAAACCCGGAACATCGACTCTTGCCCAGTGAGTGGCTGCTATCGACATTCCAGTCTACTGCTCTGTGCTGTGTCCCAGGCCCTTCCACTGCTGCTAGTGAAGTAGAACACCATGATGGCCATGCGACCACCCCAGAACCCAGCAGGAGGACTCTTTGATGATTTTCATTGTTTTTTTTCATTTCCTCTTCATGGAATATTTTGCCGAGGATGTTCTGTAGTACAGGCTTTCTATGGAAGGTTTTTATTTCATCATTAAATCTAAAGCTTAATTTTGTTGGATATGATTCTTGGTTGGCATCTATTTTCTTTCAGAGCTTGGTATATGTCATTCCATGGTCTCCTGGCTTTGAGGGTTTTGGTTGAAAAATCTTCTGGGATATGAATTAGTCTCCCGCTATATGTGATCTGATTCCTCTCCCTTGCGGCCTTTAAGATTCTATCCTTGGGGCTGGAGTTGTGGCTCAGTGGTAGCACTCTTGCCTAGCATGTGTGAGGCACTGGGTTCGATCCTCAGCACCACATATAAATAAATAAGTAAATAAAATAAAGATCCGTCAACAAATAATAAAAATATTAAAAATGATTCTATCCTTATTCTATATGGTAGGCATTTTCATTATAATGTGCCTTGGTGTAGATCTGTTGTAATTTTATACATTTGGTGTCCTGTAAGTCTCTTGTATTTGGTTTTCCAAATCATTCTTCATGTTTGAGAAATTCTCTGATATTATCTCATTGAAGAGATTGTGCATCCCTTTGGTTTGAAACTCTGTGCCCTCCTGGATCTCTAACTTTTATATTTGGTCTTTTGATGCTATTCAATAATTCTTAGATGTTCTGATCATGGTTTCTTACCATGTTCACTGTGTAGTCAACTTTATTTTCCAGATTGTATACTTTGTCTTTATTATCTGATGTTCTGTCTTCCAAGTGATCTAGTCTGGTGGTGATGCTTTCTATTGAGCTTTTTATTTGGTTTGTTGTTTCCTTTATTTCAAGAATTTCTGATTGTTTTTATTTCAGAATCTCTATCTCTTTCTTGAAATAATCTTTTGCTACCTGTATTTGTTCCCTTATCTCTTTATTGGTGTCATCAATGGTTGCCTGCATTTGCTGTCTTATTTCTTTGTTGGAGTGATCAATTTTTGCTTGTATTTGCTCATTTAGGTCATTCTTTAATTCACAGATTTTTGTTTCCTAGATTTAACAGACAGCCAGAATGTCTCCTATTATACTTCCTATTCAAAGTACCTCTGAGGATCATTCCCTCTGTGCTTGTTATGATTGTAGGCTCCCAAAGCCCAAGTGCTAGAGGCTTGGTCCCTGGGTGGTGCTACAGGAAAATGGTGATATCCTTGAGAGGAGGGGCCTAGTGGGAGGCCCTTAGAACACTGGGGTTGTGCTTTTGAAGGACATTGTTGGACCCTTGTCCCCTTCTTGTTCTTCATTGGTGAGGAGTGAGGGGTTTTGTTCTGCCCAGTGCTCCCAGCAGGATGTGCTGCCTCACTACAGGAGTAAAGTGGCAGGGCCAATCATGGACTTCACTTTCCAAAACTGTGAGCCCTAATAAACCTTTCTTCTTTATAAGTGAATTACCTCAGGTATTTAGTTATTCTAATGGAATTCTAACACAGTAGTGTACCTTGAGTCTTAAAAAAAAAAATCAAAGCTAAGATTTTTCCAGTTTGGGCAAATGCCTTGGGATGAGAGCAATTTTTTTCCCATGAATTTCTGCCCACATTTATATTTTGAGTTAAAGAATTGTTATCTTATTCCCTTTTGGATGATTCCTCTGTTTTATGTCTTCTTTCTAGATGATTTTAAGGGAAGAGGCAACCATAATATCATGTTACTAAAAATTTAATCACCAGGAACTGCTGATTCCTTCCTGCTGTTAATCTGACACCAGGGCAGATGCCGGAACACTATTCTGTCTACAGCAACGCTACTCAAATGTGTACTAAGTGCACTAGCACTGGACTGTGAAATGTTTGTTACCAACCCACAACAAGACCCATACAGAAAACGAGAGTGAGCAAGGACACTTCTATCCACACCTTGTCCAAGACTGATACCAGTCAAGCAAAAAAATGCATATTAACATCAAGCCCTTAGGTCTGCTGAGAGCACTTTGGTCACCAGCTGTTGGTATAGCAGTTTGAACACCTCAGCTCAACATCTCCACTGAGTGCCTGCAAAGTCCTGTCTTCACATATGCTCCTGACAGTCTTCCCTTCTTCATTGATATAACTCTTTAATTTCTGATTACAGTGTCACAAATTTTTGTTGTTCTCTTATGTGGGGAGCCACTCTGAATGATTCATGTCTTCCATTCTGGAGCGGAAAGTTTTTGACCATCAATCACTACATAACATACTGAATACTGCCCTGGTCCTGGAAGTTTGAGACGTAGGCGTGTTGCCCCATGGCCCCTTGGGTTGAATTACACTCACCTATCCTTTGTAACCCTGCCCCTTGTGGCCTTTTTTGGATGAAACTTTCTAAGTATAAGGGTCCCCCAATAAAAGCCCACTTCTGAACGTGCTCACTCTTTCTCTTGCTCTCCCATTTGGGGAGCCTGAGGTTGAGAGTGGAGAAGCCATCCTGAAGCTTGTTTCAAGGTAAAGTGTGTGACTGTGTTTTATTTGGTGTCCCTGATAATTCAGACGAGCAACCTTAAGTTCAGCTGCCTGCTCGGGTAGGGGATAGCACTCTTACTTCCTCTTTCTCATACTCTGGTTAAGTTCCTTAGGAAGTATTGTAAATTCCATCTTCAAAATGTGTGCAGCATCCAAACACTTCCACTATTTCCCCTGCTCATACACCAGTTGAAGTGACCAACATCTCCAACATAGGACTGACTGTTCTCCAGAGTTTCCCTGCTGCCTTGCTAGTCCTCATCTCCATTCTGGTCTCAGGTCAGAAGTTAGCATGATGCTTTGAAAAGATGCACCATGTCTGCTTTGCTCAAAACTGCCTCACTCAATGCAAGATTCTTTCCGTCTACCTCCAGATCTTGCCACTGGCCATGTTTCTGAGCTCCTCTCAGTGACTCTGCTCAGGACATCTCAGATCCTCACTCTCCTCAGACCACACACACACAGGATCCTGCCCTGGTGCATTTGCACTGCAGCTTCCTGTTGCCTAGAAAGTTCTTCCTCCAAACATCCTCATGACAAGTTCTTTTACATCGTTCAAATCTATCCTCAAAGTTCACCTTGTTAATAAGCCCCATGTTGAGAACCCTAGTAAAACAGCCATCTTCCCTGCCCACACACAACCACTCTCACACCTGCCCTGCAACACTTACCACCTAACATGAACACTATCCTCAGGTACTCTGTTTAGAGTATCTCTTCTTCTGCTTTCCAATAGAACACAGGCCTGTTTTCATTTCCCGGATGTATCCTAGGTGAAAACTGTGTATCATCTACTCAGTACTCAACAAATGAGAGATGAATGAATGATCATTGTCAACTCCTCCTTCTTTATTAAAGGAATTTCAGATCAAATGCTGCTGTGGCATCTGCAGTCAAGGGTTTCTCACACTGAGATCAGGGCCATTTGGGCTTTTCTCACAAATGCTGCCCTCCATCCCTCCACACCAGCCCTCCTGCTCTCCAGAGTTGCTAAGGACATTTTGATCTTCATGATCCTTACCTAATGGGTCATATTTTCCAACTAAACAGAAACCTCCATTAGACTCTGTTTTATCAACCCAGGAATCTGTAATGGAGCAAGTTCTGGGATGAGTATTAAGGACGGTGAAACTGCTCAGTTAGAGAAGATGGAAGCCTAAGAGGAATTTATCTAAGATGAGAAATCATGAGATCCTTCCTCTCTGCTGTTCCCATAATCTGGTTCCTTTAAAAATCCTGGAGGAATGATAGGAAAAACAATCCAGGAAACTGCCCTGGGTCTTGTGGGTCAATGACAGAAAAAATGAACTTCTGCTGTCACAGCTGAGAGACAACCAGAGTAGAACAAGACCAGAACCCAAACTTACTAACAAGAACAGGGATAATTCTTTGTGAAAAGTGAGAAACAAAAAAAGATGGGAGCAGAAGGTCAGACTCAGGTCTCGTCCTATGTTAACCCAGTGGCCTGATGCCCTCCCTGGCCAAGGTCCTGGAGCAGGACCAGCCCTGGTTGATGCTACCTGTCATCAGAGGTCCTGTTGGGATGAGGTTCAACTGAATGGACAAGGACTAAGGAGCAGTAAAACTGACCCAGCTGAGAGTGACCACAGAGGCCCAGGATGGACTGAGCACAGACTGGGTGCCACCTTGTCCACCTGCTGGAACTCCTTTCATCCTTCTCCTGTCCCCACCTGCAGCAGAGTCGGCACAGCAAACACGTGGATTCTGGAAGGTTTCAGGTTTTATTTTCTCTCAGAAATTTTAGGAATCCTCTTCTCATTTAATTAACCCATCAACATATTTTGTGGCACAAATTTGAAACACAATCAATATCCACATTCTGTTTTCCAAAAAGGAAGGAAGATGCTACAATTCAGAGCAACATAAAGCTAAATCAGGAATGAAGACATCCCAGCCCCACATCAGCTACAGAGGAAAGTTGATTGAGGAAGAGAACATGACAGTGTGGGGAGGGGGCCTGGTGATCAGGGATGTGCTCCTCTTTCCATTGCCTCACATTGTGATTGTAGGAACACAGACACAAACAGACAATCAGATGCCAGCTGCACAAAGAGTAGCCAGGAACTCTTGAAACTGCAGTAGAGAGCAGGAAGAGAACTGAAGAAATCCTGCACTGCTCAGACCACAGATGGCAGTATTTCACACTGTAAAAGAAAGTATTATGAACAGATTCAGAACACTA